CTAATAATATGAAACTGGTTTCCATGCATAAAATTCGATTCAATTGACCATTTGCGTAATAGACTAAATTTTGATCTCAACAAAAATTTCATTACAGCTTGTAAGAGCATCACAAAGTTAGTAATATTCCAAAGTTTCGTTGCAAAATGTTGTAAAATGCGGAAAATATAGCCTTGCGAAATTTGCAATTTTCAGTCATTTTAGATTACAAACCGGAAACTGACAGCCTCGAAGGGTTTGGGGCTGTCAATTTCCCGTTTGTAATCTAAAATGACTGAAAATTGCACATTTCGCAAGGCTATATTTTCCGCATTTTACAACATTTTGCAACGAAACTTTGCAATATTACTAATTTTGTGATGCTCCTTCAAGCTGTGATGAAATTTTTGTCTAGTTTAGTTCAAAATTTAGTCTATTACGCAAATGGTCAATTGTGTTTTCGCACTCATCAGCTCACTATAGGACTCGGGTATTCTAACAATAATGTGAATTTTTAAAGTCTTTTTTTTTAGATACCCTGTAGTACTAATGAATACAAATTACTGTCCAAGCATCATGTTCCTCGTTTAGTCTCCCGGGATAAGTTTCCATAGCAACGGCTGCATCACGTCAGCAGAACTTAGGAGGTATTTATTAATATGTCATCGTCTGACAGTGAGCCAATTCATTTGTATTGAACTAATGGTTTACTTAATCCCTAGCTGTATGCCCCTGTGTAAACATTGTTAGTCCGGTTGCCCGACAATAAAGTACGTCAAATTAAACACATTATGCTGTTAAATGCCCATGTTTGTAGAAAGTGCATGTTTGAGACGAAAAATTCATGGTTAAGCGAACACATTGATGGCATTTTGTCGGCGAAAGAGGTTTAATATCGTCTTACTAAATTCAAGGAACTAATTCTCGCCATAAGTGTTAGGATTTGCTTATATAAAAGTGTCGGGTTGCTATTTTAGGCATAAATGTATGCGTAGACGTGTATAAATGATATTTGGAATATAGTTCCGTGCTGAAAAAAGTCGATAGTGTACAAATTGTCTTGGCCCAAAGGTAGATGCTGTAATATCGACGATTGTATTTAGTTTGTTTAAATTGGAAACCTTATATTTGGTAAATATTGTATTACATATACCTTTTTGAACGGTGTTTATCGTCACCCGTTTAACTTTGTCTTTGGGAGTTTCTCTACAGACTACAGTATAAAACCTTGTGTTATACTGGACTGGTGAATATATTTATTGTATTTACCACGTATATTAAACTGGTACTATAGATATTAGTTAAATTCACCACGTTTAATATAGTGAAACTTGAAAATAAATTTGAATTTAAATTTTGAGATTTAGCAGTTTGTATTATATACTCATTCGACGATTATTTGACGCTAAAGTTAAACCTTGTAACTTTAATTATTAGCGAAGGACGAGTCTATAGAGTATAGAATATTGGCTGTATAGTCTCTAGGTCACTATACTCGGAGACTTTTAAGACGGTGTTTAATATTTTTAATGTCAATATAGACAGACGAGTATTTAAAGCTAAACATAAAATTTGGCTTTGGTAAAACCGTATAGCCAAATAGATATCGACCTTTTGAGTTTTGGTTAACTTAACCCGAGGAACTGAATCTGAATATCCCCCAGTTAAAGTCGGTATCGAGTCGTTTACTGCAGTCTGCCAGTAATATCAGCCTGTCGTTTGCAAGTGTAGTGGGTCATCATGTTTATGCGTTCTGGGCGGAAGTTGGACAAGACTTTAACGAGTTTGTTTAAGTTTGACAAGAACACATCGGCAACTCTTGATCGTTTGGTCGCAGAAATACACCAGAATAAGGAATTATGCAGTTATCAATTTTTGAACCATCCCGGGTCGCAAGATATGCTGACTGGTATATTGAAGCTCGTCCACTCAGAGGACAGAAGGTATGTTAATTTGGTTTACTGATGTACATGTGCTTGCTTACATTTGTATAGCCTAGTATAGGTAATAGTATGGTTTCGAGAGCAATTTGGAAAAATATGCACGAGTGAGTTTTTCAAAGACTACCAACATTGAAGTCTTTGAAGTCTTTGAAAAACTCGCGAGTCCAATTTGAAGTCCAATTTGAACTTAAATTTTGAAGTCTTTGCAAAACTCGCGAGTGTATGTTTTTTCAAATTGCACGAACTGAAACCATACAATTACTTATTAATAATATACATGAAAAAAGTATGCAGTCACTCCTAAGAACTCCGAAATGTTTGGGTTTTTTGGTATTATTTCTGTTGCAAATTGCTGTATATTATTGGCTGCCTTTGTTATTGTTTCAATCCTAAATAGTCGATGAAATTTGCACTGTATTTTGAAAAAATTACACTGCTCTTTAGCTAACTGCTCTTAGACTCGCCTAATCAGAATACAGCCTTTCGATAATTACGCCACTTGGCCTTGGAGCCTCGCTCTCATGAATCGTGAGCCAATCACCTTACGTAATTTACTAATGAGAGCGAGGCTCCAATACCAAAAAGTATGTGTAACGTAATTATCGAAAGGTTTCGAAAGGGTGTATATACATATCATAATAATAATAAAATTTGTATAGCGGATATATGTTACTGTTCTAGGCGCTTTATATGCTAATATTATATAATATTTTACCTATCCTTCGTATATTAGAATTTGTTAACATTTTATCATAATTTATAAATTGTAAGCTTGTCTTTAGTATTTTGACCCGAAAATGCCCTATATCCATACTAGCTTTTAAGTTGGGAAGATCGTTCAGTAAAACGCCATTTACTTGATGAAGAACGAAGCTGTCTCAATCTTCTATATTAATTAACTAAACAATACATTTTGCAAAAAAATACCGAACTTCTTATCGTTCCGCGGTATCTGATTTCATTATTGAGCCCCACTATAACTGAAACAGTGAAACCTATAAACTTTCTTAGGAATTCCGTTGTAGAGTCTAGGCATAGGAATAGAAAGCCTAGTCGAAGAACTCCTTAAATTGTAATAATTTATCATTGTGCTCGCATTTTGAAAAGTGTCTCAGAAAGTGCCATTCTGAGACATTTTTGAAAAGTGTCTCAGGATCCTTTGAAAAATTGCCCCGTGGCATGACCTTTATAGATTCGCTATTTGGGCCGAAATTGCCGGTGTAAATATTTCGAGATCTCTGTTAATATATGGGTATTGGGTTGTCTGTTATATATGAATATTGTTCTAATTCGTTTGATTAATGACAATATTTCACTTGATTAGGCCAACATTGGGTTTAATTTGTCGTCAGATAACAGGAATTCTCTTGAAATTGGTCTTTAAAGAAGCTTAAAGGATTTTCTCCTTTTGTTCTAAAAGATTTCATTTCAGTTAAACTTAATCCAAACTTCGTTGTTGTCTATGATTTGTCAAAGTGGGGGGTAATGAGTTTCGTATTAAATTTGTGCACAAGTAAATGAAGTTTAAATAATTTGAGACATTGCTAATTGCTTTCATCAAAACTAATGCCCTTTTTGTCGAAGTGCTAAAACGATTTTAATTTGAGGTTATTGAGCTAAATTAACGACTGATCTCCAATCTCGGCCTGGATGGAGCAACCTTTAGAATTCATGGAATTAAATTTGATATCAACCTCTTGTAAGACTTGTGATAAATAACTGGGCGATGCAGTGGTTCTTTTGCATGACTGCGTTACAGAAGCGCTACTTTCGCATCAATCTCGTTCCCCGAGCCTGCGATCCTCGGGAAGGAACGCGAGGCTCTGGGATAATCCGTTTCAGGGAGGAATCTGATTGGCCGTTGAAATGGATGCGTAGTTCAATCTTAGCCAGAATTCCTGGCTTCCGGCAATGGATTATCCCAGAGCCTCGCGTTCCTTCCTGAGGATCGCAGGCTCGGGGAACGAGATTGCTTTCGCATGTGACTCGAAAATTGATGGTGTTATTTTTTAGTCTAATTTGAAAGATCATTGAAAACTGTAGAGTAACTTCTTTGACAGATGTTTGTTTTCTTGCTTCGTTTTGGGGATACTTCATTTTGTATAATGCATGCATAATGAATTACTTTAAAATGTTATATAATTTTGTCACTGTCAAATAATTTAGCTCAAAAAGAATGATGAGCACGAGTTTTGTCCACAACAACACCCAATCATGTAGGTTTTCTACTGATTTTGTTTAGTCGTAGTATAGATACACAGATTTTAGGGCTAATCATTATGCATATGTGACGTCGGAAGCTGGTCCTTTGCATATCATACAAAATGAAATATCTCCAAAACGAAACAAGAAAGCAAAAATCTATATCAAAGAAGTTACCCTACAGTTTTCAATTATCTTTCAAATTAGACTAAAAAATAACACCGTCATTTTTCGAGTCGTATGCCCTTTAACGGGATTTCATCAATTTTGTTTTAGAATCGCTGGCAATGCTTCGTATGTGATAGGTTCGCTTGCTGAGACTGCTTTGGGATGCAGTAGAATAGTCCGTATATGTACTGCATCTTCGGAAGAGGAGAGCAGCGAAGTCCTCAAGAGTTTGACATCGTTGTTAGATGTTGCAAATACAGATTTAGAAACTGTTCTCAATGCTGCTGGAACACTGGGCACTCTGGTGAGTTACAAAGTTAGTACAATTACCTCCCAGTGACCTCTATAAATACTGGAGTCAGTGGCGTAGCCAGGGTTTACAAAATGGGGGGACAAGTTGAGCGCCGAAATTTTTGAAATTCAGAGCCTATGAAACGCCATTCGTGCATTTTGGGATGAGATTTTACAAAATTCAGAAGATTACAACATATAATGCACAAAAAATAGTACATTTTAAGACTTTGAACTATTTAATTTTAAAGTGAGGTTTTGCAGGATTCAGAAGATTACAACATATATAATACACGAAAAATAATACATTTTACGACTTTGAACTGTGCAATGTTCCTAATGTCTTTTCCTAGAACTGTCTCAATCTATTTAGAATGGCAGCTTTCTGATTTTAGCTAAAAATCGGATCAGTGTTACCCCCACTCCAGTTTCTCAACGGATTTAATTAAACATATTTCGAAGGGGGTTTGAAGGATAATGGGGGACTCGTCCCTTATGAGAAAAGTGGAGCCAAGATCACAGAGTTCTTACATACAGAGGTTTCACCTCGCGTAAGGGATTCTTCAGTCCGCTATGTTCTCAGCAAGTGCTCTAAAGAGAGGTCGTCACCCCCCTGAAAACATATTGAAATTTAATATTCCAGGGGGGTGAATGTATCTCTTTAGAGCACTTTCTAAGACCATGGACGCAGTAGACGCCAAAAAGGTTGTCGTTTGCAAACCTTAAACTCTACTGAATCTTAAGGTTTGCAAAGGACAACCTTTTTGAATTACTGTTTTGACCAGTATTAATGTCGATGCATAGTTGAGCTATCTGACTTAATTGATAAAATGATAACATTGTTACAACTTGTTCAGGGACAAGCTGCTACAAACCTTTCGCGAACGCATCTCGGCATCTTGTTGACAAGTTGTGAGATTTTTATGCGTGTAGTACAATACAATACAATAAAGGTTTATTCACAATGAAACTGAAGCATGCAATTACAGTGACAGAGGAAAAGGAAAGTTTGAGGTTATCCCTATATTAAACTTCCTTAAATAAAATAATTGTTAAAAATTACTAATTAAAATTACAATTACAAATATATGAATAAATTAGATCTTTAAATAGTCCTTCAGGGCTTTTTTGAACGCTGAAAAGTTATTAGCCTCTAAAACGTATTTTGGCAAAGCGTTCCACAAGCCGATAGTCCTTACAAAAAAGGAGTATTTGTAACAATTCACTCTACTTGCCTTAACACATAGTTTATACGCGTGATTTGCTCCAGTTGACTTTACTCGAGACCATTCGAAAAAGTCCGAGAAGTTTAGCTTGCATAGCCCAAAGACAATTTTGTAGCATACAAGTAATGATAAATAATCCCTCCGTAAGGAAAGTGTTGTCCACCCCAGGATCTGGCATCTTTCTTCGTACGACATTTCACCTCTCTTTTGACGCAAAGCAAGCCTGGATGCTCGTCTTTGTACTTTCTCAATTGCATGAATGTCCTTAACAAGATATGGATATAGTATACCGGGTGTCCCAAAAAAATCTAGTTATACTTGTTAAATAATAAATTTTTTTGGTTGTATATCTCGCACAATATTGCATGTAAATTCTGTTGTTATATATCAAGTTCTTAGTCAGTCTTTTCTGAATGAATGATCTTTATTTCATTGCGATAACTGTTACACCTTTTACGTTACATGTCCTTTTACGTTACGTATCCAGTTTTTTGGGGGGCATCCAGTTGTTCTCGTACAAGAAACGGATTCTATCTATTCGAGCAAAGGACTGTTTGCGTATCGATATACTATGTTTCGAACAATGTTTTTAGGCTGAAAATGAAGATGGCAGATTATGGTTGTTACGTCAAGCTGAGTTAAATGAAACAATTGATAGAATAACGACACTGTTGTCTTATGAAGATAATTGGGTTGCAAGTAATGCTGCTCTTGTCCTCGCAAGGTACAGTTTCACATATTAATAATAATAATAAGACTGGTAGAGATGCCTCAGAGTGATAAAACGTGACAAGGCAACAGATTTACTAACACTAACCCTATTCCAAACACAAACTCTAACCCTGATCCTAAACCTAACCTAACCCTTCCAAGTTTGTTTCTAAACAAATCTTGAAGAAAATATTTTTGCCCAAATGTCATTCTGAGGTCAGCGAAATAGTTTCTTCCTTTATTTAATGAGGCTAAAGTACATTACTGGTTTGAATTTCCAGTGGTTTTATTTTCATTGTGGGCCTCCTATCTCTGATGAATAAGTACAAGTTGGAATAAATCTATCTATACTAATATGTGACGTCTATACTAAAATGCTCTAGTTTAGCGTTCTGCAATAAACGCTCTTGATTAGTTGCGACAATGCTGTTCCAGCAATTTGTCAACAGGATGATTCCTCAACAGGCTTGTAGCAAGCTTGTTAACAAGTTGTGACAATACTGTTCCAACAACTTGTCAACAAGATGTCACCTCAACAGACTTGTCAAAGCAAGCTTGTTAACAAGTTCCAACAACTTGTCTGTCAACTACACACGTAAAAATCTCACATCTTGTAACAAGTCTGCCAACAAGGCGTCAACAAGATGTATTCGCACTGCTTGTCACAAGTTGTCAACAGGTTTGGAACAACTTGTTGACAACTTGTAACAACCTTGTCGAAATTATCAGACTTGTTGCAAGGTTGTTCTGACAAGTCCGTTACATGCTTGATATAACAAGATTGTTACAACCTTGTGTTGACAACCTCGTAACATCCTTGTTATATCATGGCTGTAACAAACTTGTTAGCACAGTCTTGTAACAAGGCTGATAATGCCATCAAGATTGTTACAAGTTGTTAACAGCTTGTTTCAAACTTGTTACAACAAACTGGGAACAAGCAATGCGAACACAACTTGTTGACAGCTTGTGAACAGACTTGTGACAGCTTGTTTGCAGACTTGTTACAACTTGTGCGTTTTTACGTGTGTAGATGTCTCCTCAACGTACAGGCTTCTAGCAAGCTTGTTAACAAGTTGTGACAATGCTGTTCCAACAACTTGTTAACAAGATGCGTTTGGAATAGGTTTGTAGCAAGCTTGTTAACAAGTTGTGACACTGCTGTTCCAACAACTTGTCAACAATATGTGTTCGCAACAGGTTTGTAACAAGCTTGTTAGCAAGTTGTGACAGTGCCGTTCCAACAACTTGTCAACAAGATGTGTTTGCAATGAGTTTTTAGCAAACTTGTTAACAAGTTGTGACAACGCTGTTCCAACAACTTGTCAACAAGATGTCTCCTGAACAGGCTTGTAGCAAGCTTATTAACAGGTTGTGACAACGCTGTTCCAACAACTTGTCAACAAGATGTCACCTCAACAGGTTTGTAGCAAGCTTGGTAACAAGTTGTGACAATGTTGTTCCAACAACTTGTCAACAAGTCAGCAAACTTATGGCAAGATGTGTAATGGTTGTGCCGGTATAGACTGCGCTCCCTCAACAAAAATTGAATCTACGACTGGTTACATCATCTACAGTGTCTTTGAACTTTCTTTGTTAGGTTAACAATATCTGAAGAAGGTTGTGCCCGAGTTCTCAATCATCCTCATTCTACAGACATCTTAACCCAGCTGATCAAGTCACTCCGTATTGATAATGATGGTAATGAATTGGTAGCTTGTTCAACTTGGCTAGCTTTACTTCCAGAGAACACATACTGTAAATGCGTTAGACATTAGTGGACCAGCAGGCGTCCCATTGCAATACCGCGATACTTCCAAAATGGTACGAGGGGCTTTGATGGACGTGCAATCGTCAGAACAAGCGCCTTTCTCTGCGGACTCGCTCTTGACACTCAAGTGAAAAGAGTTTGTCAATGCTCCACCGACGTGGGTCTTCTTTGGGTGTTTCATCCCACCGGGAATGTTGATTGATATAATTTAATTTGCAGTCGGTGGTATACCCTCTAGTTAATATGGTATTCTTTTTAAATTGTTTGTCTAGGTGCTGGAATGAATGCTGCATTTGCCATAGGGCGCCTGTGCGATTTACAAACGGGACGTGTGCGACTACTCAATCACAAAAACTCCGGCCAAATGGTAAGGACGTTGTAATCTTTAAAATATGAGCGGCAGTGTTGTATTTTTATTTAACCACAATGCTGTGTAATTAGTATGAAATAAACGATCATTTTATCATCATTATTTTTCAGCTTGAAAGTTTACTGAAAATGTTACAAAGTGATGATATCGCTTGCCAGAAGAACGCCTGTTTCGCCATCAGTTGCCTAGCGACCAATACCCTGGGTCATTCTAGGATACTGAATAACGACCACAGCAACTGTTTGTTTTCTTCAATGCCAAAAATGTTGACATCAAGTGACGAGGAATCTGTCTGGTTCGCTGCCATGTAAGTAGTGGCATGGCTGTAGAAAGTAGGAAGTTATGGAGCGACGCTACTTCCATAGTCTAAAGGTCTAACTCCAAACCAAAATATACACTTGAGTAACTTCTGAATTCAAAACTAATTGAGTCGAAATATGAATTGTGGAGTTACTGGCTAACTCCAAAAATCACTTGGAGCTAGGTATAACTCCTAAAATCATATAGGAGCTAGCTATCTAAGCCCGGAGTTACTGGCTAACTCCAAAAATCATTTGGAGGTGGATGTATCTAAAAAAAACACATGAAAAAATTGGTGTATAAGCCTTGAAGTTACGGGCTAACTGCCTAACTGCAAAGAGTATGTGTATCAAGGCGAGCCAGCCTAGCCACTAGGTATGTAAGCCTGAAGTTACTTGCTGTGTTGCTAACTCCAAAAATCATTGTGAGCTAGTTATCTAGCGGCACACTTGGTATTTTGTTCTCGTTCAGAGGCTAAATTTTGATCTGCAGTTACGACGCAACCCATTCTCGTACCCCGCGACCCTTGTCATGCTCTGTTGACCGCGTGTAAGACGGGCTCTGGGTACGAGAATGTGGCATAGCCTAGCTCTATTTGAGGATTGGCTACCTCCACAGCAATAAAATCTAGAGGTATGAGTGGTGGACGTGAACAAATTTATCCGTTTTTCCATTCCTTACCGGTCCAGTGTTGCTATAGACAGGAACTAGAATCTAGAATACTTGAAGAGCACCTGTGGTGTTTGGTAGAGTTAAATTTGAAACGTTCTCCGAAGCAAATGAGGTGCAATCATAATCGATCACCAATTACCCTCCGCCTTTGGCCATCAATTAAGTTTGCAGAAATTCCCATACGTCCCTGAAACGCATTATTGTTTTCAATATAGGACAGTTCATACATTCGCTTGTCAAAAGCAAGGTATTTTGGAGTTACGAAGGGACCCTGAAATTGTTTCAGCACTATTGGTTAGTAAAGAATTTCAAAATTATATTTCAGTAAAAAGGGAATGAAAGTAAAATATACTTGATATTATAGTGAAAAGTTTGGGTTATCGACTATTAAACACAGTATGGTCATCAGGGTTGGAAAAGGTATCAACTACCAAACCATTTGATCCCAGAACATTTTAAGTTCCCACCTGTAGTAGGGTTTCCAATAGAAGACGGCACACGGATTATTTTCGCCGTCTACAGCGTGGTTTATCGCCGGTTATTTTTCAAAATTATATTACAAAATTTTCTCTCCTTACCACAGAAATGTCAAGGGAAGGGTTTTTAACTTTTATGAGCTAAATTTTACACGATATTCTTTGTTAAATTTGGGTAATATAACGAATCAAATCTCCAGAATCCAAAACAGCTGCCTAAAATGGCTGGAAAATGGCATTGCAGCGGGTTTAAATTTCAAATTAGATTCAATTGAAGTACTTTCCTAGAAGATTGGTACTTTCAGCACCAATAGCCACCAGTATGTCCTTTCAAAACCCTCCTACTGCAAATTCTGTGAGAAAATGAGAAAGTAAGTTAGAATTTCCATGATCAGAAATAATGATTATAAGCGATTAGTCAAACGATTGGTTCGTTCTCAAACCACGCCTAAAGTATACCTATGGTGATATACTGCAAATTAACTATTGTACGAGTCGTTCGCAATAAAACCCAACACTTTAGCGGCGTCTGCAACGCACGCTAGATAAATACCAATCGCGGTTTAGTTTCGTTGTTATAACTGGCCCATACATTCGAATATCCAATATCAAGTGGTACAATGGTTATATGAATGAGTTTGTGTATTCATAGAACTCGTAGTTAATTTGTACTTAATTACTTTGAATATTATCATTTCAGAAAGTTAGTGAACAAAGTGTCAGTGAAGACGCGAAAAATGAAGTAAATGCTGCTTTAGAGTTGCTTGAAAAATTAACAAAACCCAATGCACTTGATGTACAAGGTATATGGCACTTAGTTTGCTATAATATTCTGACCTTCTTGTAGCTGTGTCTGTAAGGGTGAATACAGTTCCACAATGCTTTCTTTGAACACTGGGGTTCCCCAAGGTTCTCTGTTAGGCCCTTTACTGTTCTTAGTTTTCATTAATAATCTTCCTCTCGAATCTGGTGATGCACAACTTGATATCTATGCGGACGATACCACCGCTGATTGGCACGAAACTTCCCAACTGTCGTAAACAATGCATATGTCTACGGCATTAGCATTAATTTATAATTACTAACTTTATTTCTGAAAATAAACTGTCGATAAACAGCATGAAGACCAAGTCAATGTTATTTAGTAGCAAGCATCTGCGTGAAAAGTTGTCGTCTGATGATGAAGTGAAGATCTCCCTGCCAGGATCAAGTTCTCCCTAGAGAATGTTAGTGCGCATAAGCAAGAAGGAATCATCTTCAATCAGGATTTGACTTTCGATGCCTATGTGCGATATTTAAGAAAGAAACAAGGAGGATATAGGTCTACTGAAACGAATAAAGAACTGTCTCCTCCTTGAGGAGAGACTTAGTTTCTACACAGCTACAATTAAGCCTGTAGTGATGTATTGTAGTTCAGTTCGGACTTTAACTGCTCAAGCCAGTTTAGATTCCGTTTTGAAGTTGCAGAAACATGCTGCTAAGCCAATTTTAGATAAAGAAAGTCTGCCAGGTCAATTCGTATCTTAATAAGCTTGGTTGGATACCGTTTTATGAAAACGTTTTTAGTGTTGCATGATCGCCAAATAAGCGAGGTTGGTGGTTCACCTTTAAGTCTTTCACCACCACAAGCCCCAAATTAGGTAAAAAGTATCATTAATCATAAAAATCCAAGGGAGTGGTGCCGAAGTACAGTTAGTTAGTCGTGCACCCTAACCCGCTTACCCCAGAAAACCGGCTAATAAAGGGTAACTAATCAAATTTCTTACTAATTTCTTTTTAGTGCAAAGTGCCTACGTGATTTCTGTGAAATGGAATAAAATATTTCCTAAGAGTGGTTTGGAAGTTTGGTATGAACTGTACAGAGGTAGGGTTAATATTGAGAAAGTTCATTTTTATTCGCATTAATATGATGACTATAATGTTTGCTGTGATGACTATAGTCTTTGACTATGATGACTATAGTCTTTGAACATATAATGACTATAGTTCTTGAATATGTCCATATGATGACCATAGTCTTTGACTATGATGACTATAGTCTTTGACTATGATGGCTATAGTCTTGAACTATGTCCTAAAGTGAGGCCGTTACCCCCCTGGAAATATACTGAAATTTAATGTTCCAGGGGGTGAATACCTCTCTTTAGGGCTCTTGCTAAGAACATAGCGACCAGATATGCGCAGTAAAAACTACCTTACGTTTAACAGTTTGTGTTAAATATGATTGTGTCACCATGGCAACCACTTCAAATACTCCATGTTTGGAAAATATAGTATTTTGCTAGCAAGGCATATATTTCCAATATTAGATTATTAAAAATTTTCAAATAAGGAGGAAAGCAAAGGTACTATCATGCGAGAATTTAAAATCCTTTTATTTCAAACTCAAACTTTATCAATAAAAGGCAGTTTAGTTTTGAAGTCATTTTAATTGAAGTTTATATTCAAGGGTGGGTAGTAGCGAAGTAGTTGTAGTTCGCTACTGTAGCGAACTACAATTTTGAAGTAGCCAGTAGTTTTTGACTACTTTTTCAAAACAGTAGCTGTAGTTATAGCGAACTACATTTTGCCTAAAAATAGCCAAGTAGTTGACTACTTTTCAAACAGCGAATCGCTATTCGCTACTTTTTAAAACTGTAGAACTTGATAGAATTGCAAAATATTGAGACAACGGTTTGCTTATAAAGTCAATCCTCAATAGTCAATTTGCACTCCCGAACACTGTAGTGCTTACAAAAATGTTGCTTTGTGTTTACTGTTGCTACTCGTACTGTAGTAAGTCGATTTGTTATAGGTTACATTACCTGAGTTAGTAGATGCTCCAATTCCTCAAAATACAGTAAAACTAAAAAATATAACGTGTAGCGAAATAGCGAAATAGTTCGCTACATTTTTTAAGCAGTAGCTGTAGTCAGTAGCGAACTATCTTTGTTCAAAAGTAGCAGTAGTTGTAGCTGACTACATATTTTTGAAGTAGCTGTAGTTATAGCGAACTACAAAAATTTTGTAGTCAATCCACCCTTGTTTATATTATGCATAATAACAAACCTAACAATTTTGGGAAATTAATAATTTTGTAAATAAAAGTGATATTTTTGGGACAAACACTTCCAGCACTTCGTGTTTGGGGAATATAATTGTCTTGCTATCAAGGCGAGGGGTTTCTGCATGTATATGTATTTCTAGTAACTTGTTACAATTGATAAAAAGTTTAAAAGTTATCTACTTGCAATTAATCACTTACCCGTTGTTGAGTGATTGCCACATTTATTATTAGCTAGTCTGAGTGTACGCAGTAACCCGACTATATTGTAGAATAAGAGGTTTCACAGCACCATATATTTTTTAACAGATTTTCAAAAGCATATAGATTAAAATAGAAAGCTGTTGAAATAGACCTTTTTCATAATGACGTCAAACGCGGAAAACATCTATTCCCAAGAGACAAGTTTTGCCGACAATTCGCTCTGCACATGATGTTATTATATATGAAATTTGGCAAAAAATAAATATCGCATAAATTGTTTCAATAAAAAGCAATGAACAAACTTTATTTACAGAGGGTTAAAAATATTACATAGCTAATATACCTGGTAAGTCAAAAGACTAATCTTCTCCAGGGCCCTCAGGTTGCTTGTTTTTCCGCGTTGATGTCATTATGAAAAAGGTCTATGGTTCATGCGACAGCATGCACACTGTTGTAAAAATAAGGTCTTTATTCTGGTATTTGATTGAATATTTAATTTAAAAAAAGACAAATTAAAATAAGGATAATATTAAGAAAGATATAGGAATTGAATTCAAGTTGCACCTTCTAAACATGTGCTAACACGTCACGCGTGGATTGTACGAGGTCGTCCCGTTTCTTCTTGATTATATACACGGAAATTTACCACTTAATTTATTTCAAATTGGTATAAACTGCTTTGCAGTGCCTGTTGCATGAATATATATTTCACATATTGGGAGTACGTCATATCTCTTATATGAAAAGACAAGTAAAATTCAATTTTCCTTGCATCTTCTAAGTATTTACTGTACGGTAATCAAAGATAAGTTATTGGATTATTATTAATATAAAAATGCCATTCGACTCAGACAAGGTCTTTCGACTAGTTAACAATAATAAATTACGCTTTATCACTCTCATTGGCGCTTAAAGTACACTGGGAGAAGTGATAGCTCGAGAGGGGGCTTTAACCGCAAGATAACCAGAAGGTGTTTGTAGGTAGACAAGGCTAGAAGCATTTGGGCCTGAATGGGAGGTTGCTTGCAATTGATACTCTGCTTGGAATGGTTGAGCGTAGATGTACAATGGCAAGTAGCTTTGGTCTCCAAATTTATATTTGGATTCCTTATCACGAACATCTACGGGCGAACTTCCAACCGCTGGAACCAAACTCGGTGGAGGCATGTCAGGGCAGTTGAGCGCAGTAGCAAGTGGGGACGACGAACTCTCTGGGGTGGTGGCTGGTATCCACTTGGCAAACGTCATCACTATATATCGATTATCTGCAAGTTGAGAGTACGACTGCTTTCCATACGACGCCCGAAAGGGCACCGTCCCCATGGTAATATCAAGTACAATTTCTGGATTAGAGCCAGCAGAAACTCCGACTTCGAACTTGACTTGATAGCTAACACTGACAGGGTTGGTCTTAATTGTCGGAGGAGTAGGTGGAATGAGCAATGGCTGGTTACTCCAAGAATCTTGGCTTCTTATCCGAATCCACCCGCCATCAGAATGTGCAATTGCTCTTGAGACCTCTTCCGTTTCCGATTTAGCACGATAACAAATGTTTGTACGAGTGTGGCTCTCATGCACAACATCCCCCGCGTTGAATTATTCTCACAGGAGGCGTTAAGAACTATCTGTTCACCCGGACAATAGCCTGATCTATTGAGACTTGCTCGCATGTTAACGCAGCCAACAACACAGCAAAGGCATCCTATTAATCCGATTCGCTTTCGTGTTGTACCATGCGGTGCTGTTGAATATTGAGGAAGATTAATATCAATGATCTCGTTGACCGTGAAAGGATTTCGAATTACATGATCTTTTCGCCCACTCTTCCGACAAACTGTAGCCTCTATGTAATATCGAACATGACCTTTTTTTCCTTCAAATGAACTAGGCAGAGGCGAGGGAAGTCTAAATGTAAACGGATAAGTACGTCTACCAGAAGGCTGCTTCTCAGTTGAACTCCCGCGAAAAAGAATTTCTTGTAGATTAACCAGTGTCTGACTTTCGCAGTGATATATTGTCTCACATCCACTTTCGTCGCCAACCAGTTCATCAATATAACAATACGACAGCCCTTCTAACTTTACTTTAATTTGGTCCAATTTCATTGGCTGATCTACGTACACGACAATTACAACACCGCTTACTTGCTGTCCTGGGTAGAACACTTCTCCGTTCCCATCAATTTTAACTCGAAAATTTTGCAATTTTCTCACCATCTTGCCTCGCCGCTACACTATGGGTGAATATCATAGCATTACCCTGTTGAAATTAGTCATGCATTTAATAGTATAGGTTGATTAAGTTGAGCATTATTCAAAATTTTAGACCCCTTCGTGCGTTTGTTTTTGTCATGGAGTTCAGGTCACAAAAGATGTGGTGGGAACAAAGATGGGAACAACATGTCAGACGATAAAAATAATTTTCCATAAATTTACAGTGCGTCTACAGTAAGTGGGGCTACTTAGAGAACACTAACCAATCACATTGCAGAACAAAAAATAGAAAAAATTAACTAACGGCGAATTAATAATCAGCATTAGGCCGAAAACAATTTGAACAAATGTCAAACGGTAAAAATAGACTTGAAAAGTAAACACTGCAGTTACTGGCTTCCTGAAGCGAACTCCATGCTTTCTTTTGATTGGACGAGCTTTAGTTTGATTAGATTCTATTTTTGTTCTGCAGTGTGATTGGTTAGTGTTTATATCTAAGTGGCGTTAGTGGCCCCACTTACAGTACACGCACTGTAAAACTGCACAGGTACACATGTTCATTGCAACAAAAACATGCAACTAGTTATCACTTCGGAATCACTTATCAAAAACTAGCCTTGTCACAGCCTTGTCATGCCGATCTTTGACTACGCTGATTTTGTGTGGGGTGGTAAAAACAACTCTGTGGCGTGGTAAAAACAAGTTCTTCACAGCAAAGCCGCTAAAATCATTCTTGACGCTCATCCACTCTCGTCAGCTTGAGAATCCCCACGTCTAATCATGTGCAAGTGTTTAAACAACGACGTCAATTTTACATTTAATTTCAATTCTTCTCTAACATGTACAACTCTCGAAACAAACAGAACATACAATTGATCGTGTCAAGAAGAACTGGGGGAAGCATGCATTCAGCTACCATGCTGCTGCTAACGACTGGAACAGTCTGCCTGTGGAACTCCGGAATATACATCAAATTAAAACTTTTGAAATTAAACTAAAGAAACATTTATCTGCATAGGACACTCTACTGAACTGATAGGATGCGCAAGAACTTTATACTATATAACCTTTCATATATTAACTTTTGTTAGTTTTGTTTCTTTTTATTATGAATTTTTAATCAGGGCTCCACTGAAAATCACTTTCGTGAGTGGACCCCCTGACTAAATATTGTAATTATTAGTATTACTATTAACTTGCCACAAAAGAAAAAGTCGCTTCGCGCAAGCGCAGAGAATCTGCTGGAGCCTGGAGGTTATGGCATGTGTTCTCCCGGGCAGCGTAGGATTTTAAAACAGTATTTTTCGGCATTCTGACACCGCTCTGATGCACAGACAATATACAGTCTCAAACTCTCGTTAATAATTCATGAGTAAATTAGCCAACCATATTTTGTTCACATGATAATATTCCCTGCTGATAATTAACAATTAGACAACGAGGCCGAGTTGTCTATGAGCGAATAGTCAACGAGGCGAAGCCGAGTTGACTATTTGCTCATAGACAACGA